GGCCTCCAGGGTCTGCCTGCCTCCTCCCAATCAGCCGCCCTACAGCTGGGGAGGCAGCGGGCAGACCGGAGCGGAGAGCCTGCATGCCCCAGGAGAGATGCGTGGCTCGGGCGCACTGCACGCCCCACGGTGAGTGCCACCTGGCATTTTGTCATCTCCCCCCAGTGGTGACACCTTGGGCGGCCCGCACCCACCGCACCCCCCTTCCTCCACCCCTGCTTCCTCATCTTTTCTTTTGCCTACCTTAGTACATTCTAAACCTGGCCAGGGACTGGTAGCCTTATCAGGTGGGAACTTTAAGGGAGAAATGACCAGAGTGAGACTTTAAGCATATGTACCTGAAAGAATCATCATGAAATGCAATTTGACCTCCTCAGAAGTAAATGTATTTCAGATAATGGTGCCAGAAATGCAATTTGACTTTGTATGCCACAATTATTCATGTTTATAGGAATACTTCCCTCTGGAAAATAAGCCAGTTAGGATTCTTATTCAGATTGCAAAGATGAGGTGGGCAAATGTTGGGCATGATCTGTTGGGAGAAAATGCCCTGGGGTGCCTGCAGCCCCCATTCCTCTGGACATACTCCGGTGAGCCTAGCTCTGGAAAAGGCATCCCCTTCTTCTCCAGGGCGCTCCCAGCGACCTACACCAGCTGGTGTAAGCACACTATCCTTCTGGCTTAACACAGCAAGAAGTTAGAGACAATGTAGTTCTAAACGACTAATTTATTTACAGAATATACAGACAAGCAATCATGGTGCTTGCTCTCAGATCTGAGAGAAGAAGAATCCACAGCATAAAAGTGAAAGTACAATTTTAGTCTCATACCGGAAGATAAGTCTGTCTTCCCTTCTCACGCTCCTCACAGACAGGCATGTGAATTACACAAATCATACAATGCAGCTTCGGAGACCTGGTTTGCTAACATGATCCTGGGCACATTCCTAGAGTTCAGCACATTTAATTCCCCCTTTTTTCAGTGAGCGTGAGCTAGGCCTTTAAAATACATTTTTGAGGGGAACTTAAGTGGGATTCAAAATTAACTATATGACCAAAATCTCCTCATGCCCCACTAGAATCAATATAATGACTTAGTTTTGACTAGGGATGTTGGAGAATTGCATCAGAAATGGAAATTGGAATGGAAATTTGCCACAAGTCACATGTTGATCCAAGGTCAAACAAAAATCACACGAGTGAATAAAAGTAGTATTCATTATGTGATTCCTTGCAGTTTGTAAACCTTACAAAATAATTACATTATTTTCTGAATTGTTTGTAATGTTACCATTCCATTGAAATGCATTGAAATTCATTACATAACTAGTTACATTAGCTAGCAGAGGTCAAAGAGTAGCAGAACAAAAGCAGCGTTGGTTGTTATGAACATGGGACAGGGTAGAAGTTGCTTCCTCCTTTCATCCCTAGTTGTGACAAATTTCTGTTCATTCATTTCAATGAGACTTTAGTGTGGCTTTCCTAATGTCAGCCATCCCCCAACCTGGTAGGGGACGGACAGTTTGGACTATAGGCTCCCTAATTCCTGGCTATTGGTCATGATGGCTTTGGCTGATAAGAATTTCAGTTACAACATCTGGAGGGCATGAGGTTGGAGAAGGCTGGGTCATTTTATGAGTGAAAGGAGTCCTATAAACAGAAAGGCCTCTTCCAATTGTAAAAGAAGCTGCAATTCAGTTGAAGTTTTCATAAACGCAAGGTGCAATTTTCACCATGCTGTTCCTCTCTGTCAAACCTTTAGAGCAGATTTTGAAGGCCAAATTAGCTTTGGGCAAAGGAAGAACTGGGGGGGGGGATTGCCTCCTACCCCATGTTTGCATTCCACAAGTAGAACTCTGCTAATACCTCTCCAAAACTAAACTTTTGGATTTTGGTCTGTGTAGCCCTAAAACAAATGTAAGGCTGAGGCTTGGGATTTGTTTTCAGCATGAATGTCAACTGTGGGGCATGTGAAGTCAGAATTGCCCCATTCAATTCAACAAAGAGACATGCTCTATCATGTCTTGAATGGAAAAATGCATATCTTTCATTGAAATCAGCCAACCCATTCAACAGATCCATGTAAACATCTACACGGAAATCGGGACATCCTTAATTATCTGCAGGCTGGCAATGCCAGAGGGACTGAAACTAAGCAATACTTATTACATCAGCTAAAGGATTCTTCTCCTTTTTGTTTGAATGTTCCTCTAGCTTGCAATCACCATGAGGGGGAAAATAAACAGCTGGCCAAAATTTCAAATAAATGAAAAGGTATGGCAGTGCATAAACTAACAATTCTCATTAAATTATATGTGAATAGAGTCTACCATTTGGTTAGGGTTTTCTTTTCCAGCTTTCCATTTGTTTAATCTGACAATATTTAATCAAATCACTTGCAAGATATCCCTAATCAGTGAGAACGCCAAAACAATGTAATGCTTCTCACTCTAGGATGATTACAGTTTGACAGAGGAAAGGGAGAAGCTGAATCATTTACCTACAAGCCAACTTTTTATGCCTGAATATTCTTTAAACACAATTGATTGTTTCATATAAATTAAGCACAAGCCTAGCATTGTAAAAATTTCATCTCATGAGCCTTTGCAGGCTATATTCAAACCATTAAAGAAAAATT